TTTGGGAGCAATTACAAAAATACCACTTTTTGTGTTCACATTCGTAAGAATACTATTTAAGGGTGTCCATTTACAAAAATGCCACTAATTATAGATTTATAAAGCCTATATCTTAAAATTCTAAACCCTAAAAAATGTTTTGACACCTAAAACCCCCTAAACACTCAAAACTAAACCCTAATAGAGCATAATTAACTCAAAATGACATTTTTTGAAATTTCTCTATATTTTGTTTTAGATATCAAGGAAATGGAATGAGAAAATTGAAAAATTAATAAAGGTGGAGAATGGGACATTTCTCATGACCCATATTTCCGATAAGGAACGATGACAAACTCAACCTCCAACTGTAATTTTGCACGTGGCAGAAATCCATTCATCAATGATGTATATCGCCTTCACATAATAAACATAGGGTTATACAGACATACGTAACTCTTTTTTATTTCGAACGTCACAACTATAGATAAAATTAAAAATTAAAAATTCATTTGACGTGAAAAAAAGAAAAAGAGAAAATTCATTTCTCCATGAACATAGGAATTAATATAAAAATCTAATAATAAGAACATAAAAACAAAACGAAGAATTCAGTTAGAAGTTGGGGGTTGTACGTGTGTATATGCACGTCAAAAACTCGTTTAAATATCATAGTCTCTATATAAAATATTATGTCTCGAAGCATATTCTTAATTACTAGTAATTTCTTGGCCTAACACGTGTAGAGCAATTATCACGTCGTTTTGTGCATCTCCATGTCTAACTGCATCTTCAAAAAACACCAATAAAACAATATATCTTCATTTGTTCTGTCTCCACTCTGATACATTTTCAGGACCCAGCGATCTATTCGCAATATAGTGTTGTACTAATTACAAGATCATAAAAGAATGGTGTGTTTTTGTTTCTTGGTGGACCAGAAGAGGAAGGTGAAAGCAAGCAAACCGGCGGCGGGAACGTGTTCCCGGTGCGGTCGTGGTGCAAGAGTCGCCGACATGAAGACTTCGACGAGGTTTTGTCTAATACCTATTTATTGCACATCTTGGAGAGCCATCGTCTGCAGCTTTTGCGGCTCTGTTCTTAAATCGTACCGTTGAGACTAATTTCCTTTGTTTTACATGTTTTTATAACTCTCTTTTCTAAATTTTAGTGTTCTGATTTTGACAATAGGCTTAACTCCATCGTCGGCTAATGGTTATCTTCTTTTTAATTCATAAAGAACAATTCTCAAACATATTGGTTTATATAACTAATTCTATCAGTCAGTATAAGTATGGAGAAATGATTTTGATATACATCGTAAGTTTAGTCTACAATCTTCTATGGGGAAGTTTAGTCCACAATCTTCTTGCTCTTATATACACAACCGATTGGAACCAAATAGTAGATTTATTGGTGGATGCTTCGCAAGATCAAAGCCATCTTTTTCTTATACGGTATGTGTTCCAGGCTGTGCCATCT